AATCACTGAGCCGGGGAGGCCATAGCCAAAGTCAGGACTGAGTCACCGTCCCACCGCGACCAGGGTTTCCCATCCCCTCCTCTGCTGCTGACTCATCTGTTATTTGAGGGCGAGTTTTGTTTTATTAGGTGAAAAAAGATAAATAAACGTTTTATCTGGGTGATTGGGTGCGAGGTGTGCCCGGGACAGGCCAGGAATCCGAGTTAATCATTATCTGTCAATGCGCAGCTGGGAAGGGGATGCATTGAGGAGGTCACAAGGCTGGAGATGAGGGTTTGCAGCACTGGCTCTTTGGAGTGCTGGGAGCCAGGGCAGGAGGTGCACATCCCCTGGAGCAAGGTAATGGTTCTGACCAACGATGGTGGCAGGAGGCTGAAGCGACCTCCTCTGAGGACCACCGGCTCCATGCTTCATGAGCATCCCTATGGAGCCCATCCGCTCCCATGGTGCTGCAGCACAGCTCACCTCCTGCTGCCCATGGTGCCCTGGAGAGACGTCACCCCGTGGTTATCGGAGGAGAAGGAAGGGTGTGAGCTGGTCCCAGGGCTCGTGGTGGCCTTTGGGCAAACATGAACCTCCTTCCTCCCAGGGTCCTGTTTACAGATCCGCTTGGCCCAGCCTGGCTGCTATCACTGCTTAAGTGCACAGATAAGGCCATTAATAAGCATGCTGCTGATAGCAGAGGGGCAAACATCGCTCCTACTGTAAGCAGCTTTCTCACAGCTCTTGGGTAAAGGCAGCTTCTGCGGGGCAGTGATTTACGTGCTCAGTCAATGCAGTGAGTTCAACTTATCCTCTCCCTTCCCACCCCTCTCCTGCGCACTTGCTTGCTCAATGACTTGGTTAAACTTGTGTCAACACGTTCAAGTTAAACAGCTCCTCTTCTTCAACAGAAAGGCCACGCTAGGAGGATTAAGCAGTCTCCCAGGGCTGTACAGCTCTTTTGGATTCAGTCTTAGCTCCAAAGACAGAGGAGAGCAAGGCAGGCAAGGAAGGATGCTTCATCTTTGCAGCCCAGATGCACCCTGGCAAAACCACTGGGGCACAACAGGCCCCAGCGTCTGATTTCAGCCCCATCCTTAAAGGAATGTGGTTCTATGGAAAACCTCCAGGTTCACAGAGACTTCTTCTCCATGGGATATATTCAGACTCCTGCATTCTCCTGGAGAAACTGGCTATTCATGGCTTGGGAGGGGGTACTGTTCACTGGGGAAGGAACTGGCTGCATGGCAGAGCCCAAAGAGTGCTGGTGAATGCAGTTAAATCCATTCAATATATGCATATTCCATACATACAAGTGATGCTCCCCAGGGCTCACTGTTGGGGCCAGTTCTGTTCCATGTCTTTATCAATGATCTGGATGAGGGGATCAAGTGCACCCTCAGTGTGGCCTCGAGTTGGGAGCATTGATCTGCTGGAAGGCAGGAAAGCTCTAGGGAGGGATCTGGACAGGCTGCATCAGTGGGCTGTGGCCGATGGGATGAGGTTCAACAAGGCTCAGTGCTGGGTTCTGCACCTGGGTCACAGCAAATCCCTGCAACGCTCCGAGCTTAGGGAAGAGTGGCTGGAAAGCTGCTTGGCAGGAAAGGAACTGGGGGTGGTGGTCAACAGAAGCTGGACACGAGCAGCTTGTGCACAGGTAGACAAGAAGCCACCAGCATCCGGGTCTGGATCAGGACCAGGGCAGGGATTGTGCCCCTGCACTGGGCACTGGTGAGGCTGCACCTCGAATCCTGTGTTCAGCTCTGGGCCCCTCACTGCAAGAGAGACATTGAGGGGCTGGAGCAGGGCCAGAGAAGGGAATGGAGCTGGAGCAGGGCCTGGAGCACAGGGGTGATGGGGAAGGGAACCTGGGGGGTTCAGTGTGGAGAAGGCTCAGAGGGGACCTGATCACTGCCTACAAGTGCCTGAGAGGAGGATGGAGCCAGGAGGGGCTGGGCTCTGCTCCCAAGGAACAAGGGATGGGACAAGAGGAACCGGCCTCAAGCTGCACCAGGGCAGGTTTAGATGGAGCTGAGGAACAATTCCTTCCCCAGAGGGTGCTCAGGCATTGGGACAGGGCAGGGCTGCAGTCACCGTCCCTGGGGGTATTTAAAAGCTGTGTGGATGTGGCACATAGAGACATAGGTTAGTGATGGCCTTGGCAGTACTGGGGAGCAGTTGGACCCAAATAACCTTAAGGGTTCTTTCCAATCTATAACTCCTGGCCTCCATTTCCCAGTTCTGCACGATCACCCCAGTGTAGGACCACAGCACTGAAAACCAGTCAGGTTTGTTAATGTCTTGCATGTAAATCACTGGCTTTGCTCAACGCAGACACCACCAAATAGCTCTTGGGGGACCCCAGATCATTGTTTATCTCTAGAATGGGGTCTGGAGGAAGGAGAGCCCTATTGCTCTCAGAGCATCAAAGCGAGGACAGGGCTGTCCAAGCAGGCTGGAGCTGCTGATGCTATGGGGAAAGGCAGAGCAGATCTGGCTCTGGGTATTCATGAAAACCACCCCAGGTCAGTGCCCCGGCTCCAGCAGGGCACTGCAGGGGCTTAGGCAGGCAGTCAATGCGGGTGCTCTCACCCAGGGCAATGGGCCCCTTTCCCTCTTGTTTTCCATCCCTTTCGTCACATCCCCATGCACGATAACCTGTGCTCCACCACCCACTCCTGCCCCTAATCAGCTTCTGGGAATGGGTTTCGTGGCTCTGAACTCCCAATCACCTGTTTGCCATCAAGAGCCACAGGGCTTGGGGTTCATCCTGGGACACGCAAACTCCTTCCATGGAGAGCCCCATCCTCTCCTGATGGACCCTCTGGGCTCCCCAAGTCAGCCAGGAGTGCCAAGTCCTCCATTGCCAATAACAAAATCGAGGGAATCAGCTCACCAGAGAGTCATAGAAATCAGTTTGCCCTCCAACAGGAGAGTGAACAGAGACACCTTCGACCTAAAGCATCCTTAACACAATGGTTTGCACACAAGGGTCCATCTCTGAACTCAGCATTAGTAGGATGCGGCTATCACCCCCAAAAGAAGCAACCTCTCTGCCATAAGTGCATCAAATTGGCATCACCCCTGCATCTATCCTGGATGAGCTTTGCATTTTGGGTCAATTCGGGTATCTGTGCCCTGGGTAAAAGCAAAAAGGACACTGGAGGAAAAACCCCTTGGGATCCACCTAAACCCAATGGAGTGGATTCCAGCCAAGCACTCCCAGCTCAAGCCTGTGCCAGGAGGCTCAGGTGAGAACGGAGCTAATCGTGGCACACATTAGTCACCACAGCTCTGTGGGTTTACCAACTGGCACATCCTGTGCCAAGGCCCTTAACATGGGCCAACGCAGCAAGTGTACAAAGGAGCTGATCCCCATTGGCTGCCCTTGGCAGAGCTGAGAGCTTCTCACTGAGTAATTAATGTAATGACAATAATAGACCCAGAGTAAACAAGGTGGAAGGGAAGAAGGAAAAAAATCAATGGGTTGGGAGCAGAGGCCACGTTTAGCCGGAGCAGCCCCGGCTCCCAACAGCTCCGTCCTGGCTCCTTGGGCTGCTGCAAAGGCTTAGGAGCATCCTGGTGGCACTTGGGGAGTGGTTTGACCATCGGCTGAACCCAGGGGCTGCTCCCACTCGGCAGGAGGCTGCAGGAGGTAAGGGCTGGGGCTTGGATGCTCACACAGCTGCAGGATCAAGGGGCTGGGTGCAGCCTTGTCCAGGCACTTGGGGTCCGCCTGATGGGTTTGCAGCTGTGATTTATGGCTTCTCCCCTCCCTCCCCTGGCTGCAAAGCAGGGGAGTTAAAGCCATAGGGGAAGGGAGGGAGGTTGCTCCTGTGCTACTCAGTTCAGAGAGTGTTGGAATCAAATGGGGAAGAGTTTAGGATCAAGCTGCACCGACAGAGGTGCAGTGAATACCCAGGGAACAAAGGGAGATGGAGCACCTCAGAGCATGGCAAAATAAGAGGGAAACATTCAATCTCAACCCTTTCTCAGACAAATTCTCCCTTAAAGCCCTATTATATTATATATATAAGGCAACTATGTACATATATTTCCCTCAAACACATCTCAGGGGCTGCCTTCCCCCCAGCCATCCTCTACCACAGGGTCACTCCCTGGAGTGAAGGCACCTTTCCTTATGCTGTATGTATAAGAGAGGCTGATCTTGCCTGGTTGCTGTGTGTGATCAAATAGATTTCTCTCTCATGGGCAATATGGTCCTAACTGAGATGATTCCAAAAGCTGGATAGAAAAGCTCCCAGCCTATGGATGTCGATTGGGCCAGTCCCTCAAGCCCTCTGTGTTGGCATGCCCATAGCTCTGTGTTACAAGTAGAATAAGAACAACTAAGCAGGTATTAACTCTGTCCCTGGGCTCATCCCATCCGGGTGGGAGGCTGGAGCTTTCCCCAGCAGCTTGGCTCAGACTCACAGACCTCTTAACGCTCTCCAGCTCTGCCATCATCTGTGCACCATACAAGAAGCGTGGTGGAACTCAGTCCAAAAGCACACGGGAGAGGTCGGACCCATCAAACACACCCAAACTCTTTGAGTTCTAGAGCAGGTCTGAGCTTGCTCTGTGCATCCACCCGATCCTTCCAGCGACAAAGGGAAAGCAGGAAACCTGAATCCAGGGCTGGCAAAGGTGAGTGTGGGAGCTGCTTGGGCGCTTCTGGTCCCAACAGCTTCCAGCAGTGGTGGGGCAAGGCGGAGACATCAAATACCCATTTCAGTGCAGGTATCCCTGCACAGCTTTTGGCAGAATCACAGAATGGTTTGGGTTGGAAAAGACCTTAAGATCATCCAGTTCCAACCCCCTGCCATGGGCAAGGGACACCCCACACTAAACCATGCCAGGGCCTTTTCCCAGTGCCTTGCAATGACTCTGCCTACCAAGAAGTGTTTAACACCAAATCTGGGCTAAAGACCAACCCCTTTCCGCCCTCATCCTCTTGGAGCAAGCAATGGAGATCACCCCACAAGTGGCTTTACAGCAGAGCACAACCTCTGCTCTCAGCATGTCCCCCTCCAACCTTTCCCATTTTAACCCCCGCTTTGTTCAGCAGGCAGATGAGCCATGTCAGGCAACAAAGTCACCAAGCAGAAGTCCTGCCAGCACTGCAAGAACAGGTCAGCATCAGCTCCACACGACGCCTCCACCATCCACTATGAGAAGTTCTGGCTGTACCGGCACTGCTCCTCGGTGCAGCAGCGGGACAGGCAAGCTCAGAAAGCAGGGCAGCTCTTCTCGGGGCTGCTGGCCATGAACGTGGTGTTCCTGGGCAGTGCCTTCATCAGCAGTATGATCTTCAACCACGTGGCCATCACCCTGGCGGATGTCTGGATCCTGCTCTCCATCCTCAAGGTCTTGTGTCTGTGCTGGATTATCTACTACCTGCTGGGTACCAGCCGGCAGCCCCATGCGGTGCTGTACCGGGATTCCCATGCAGGGCCCATGTGGATTAGGGGTAAGTTCTGCTTTTGTTCATCACCTCATGCCTTTCCCCTGCTTCCCTGCGCTTAGAAGATACAGAAATGCTTCTATTTCTACTAATAAAGTTAGAAAGCCACAGAGGATTGTAGTTAGGGCATTGGGAACCTCCCAGTGGGGAGACTGGGATAGGCTGGGGAAGGCATTGGCATGGTGGATGCCACAGAGGAACCAGAGCACCCTCCAGCCCATCTTCACCCTGTGGTCCCTTCCCAAAGCACAACTCAGGCATCTCCCACCAGCAACCGAGCAGCATGGGAGAGACATAGGGAAGGCTTCAGGCACGGCCACTTGGCCCAGTGGGAGCAGAACCACCATGTTTACCCTCCAAGGGCGTCAGCAGCCCCGTGCCACCCTCGTCCTTGTTTAACATCACTGCAGCCCTGTATGCAGGGGAGGATTCCTGCCCCGTGAGTCACATCCCACTGACACCCAGGCTTTCTCCTGTCAGTAGCTGCCCCACTTTGTGAAGTGACACTTGTCCCAGCAGCCCTGCCTCTGCTCCATGATGGAGTTTCTAATTAGCACAGTCGTGTTAACTAAGCATGGAGAACTGAAGGAAGCAAAGCTGTAACGTGCCCAAGTACCTAAAGCTGCAGAGAGGCGTCCAAGGTGAAGGAGAGGAACAGTTAAAGGGTCCTAACTTCTGCAGACTGGTGCTGCCAAAAACACAACCAGGTTCAGGCACCGGGCTCCCCTTTGTCTCTTTCTCCCTAGATAGTAAGAATTCCAGATGGGAAAGCCTCCAGCTCCAAAGGTGCCTGAGGTTTCCAGTTCCCAGCCAGGCCCAGGTGCTCCACAGACACGTCTTCATCTATTTACTGGTGTTTCTGCTGTTTGCCAGGGTCAGTGCTGCTCTTTGGCATTTTCAGCATCCTCCTGAACACGTTTCATATCGGCTACAGCGCGGTCCTCATCCAGTGCAAATCCAGGGTGGAAATCGTGTTCCCCAGCATTGAAATCCTTTTTATTTGCACCCAGGTATTGCACGTTCCCCTCCTGGACTCCTGCTTGTTCCCTCAGTCCCATTCCCAGGAGATAGAGGTGGGGAAAATGGGGAGACTTGGGGAAGTGGGTGCACATGAGGCATTCCCATGAGCATTAAAGCATCACACACCATCAGGCTCCTCACGTGCCAGATGAAGGATGAAGTAATAAGGCTTAGAAAGAAATCACTCCAGCGATACCTGACGTGCTGCAGGATCCAGACAAGTTTGTCTTGAAGCATCAAAGAAAAGAGGAACCTTCAGATCTGCCAAAGACATCTCTGCACCAGGCTGAGACCCAGCCTATTTGCTAATGCATCCCCCCAACAAAGTGCTTTGTGCACAGAAACATCTCACACCATTTGCAGCTCTGGTGCCAACCTTCTTTCCAGCCCCAAACCCATGTCTGTAAAGTGAACTCGCTCCCATCTCAGCAGCAACCACCACATACATACAAGAGGCAGAGAACAGCAGATCTCCTAGATCAGCACTAGGTGCAGGCACACACACCAGCACATGCCTCAGCACTGAGATGCAGGTGCACACATGCCACTTGCACACAGACAGGGCTGGTCCCACTTGGACTCATGCCCTCTTGCCTGCCTGTCCCTGTGCATGCAGCAGGCTGCCAGCTTCACCCTGCTCATGTCATTGTTATCTATTTGCAGGCTTTTTTCCTGTGGCATCACTCCAAGGACTGCATTCAGGTGCAGCACAACTTCACCAGGTACAACGAGGGGGAAAAACTGCCTTCTATTCCTCTAAAGAAACCCTTTCTGTCTGCTTATAATCTCCAATACTCCTGTCTTCATCTGATCTCTCTATATTCTGCATCTGATTCTCTATATTCTGCATCATGCAAGAACCAAGCTGAGACTTGACCAGACCCATTCATCCTCCTTCCACTGATCTGGGCTCACCAGCTCCCTTTGGTTTCTTCAGCCCAAAGCCCCACTTGAGCCTTGGACTTGCTCCCTCTTGACCCCAAATCCCTTCCTGCTGCACAGCTCAGGGACCAGCTCTATGGCTGGAGGATGAGGTGGGTTGGCCTCCCCATTCCTCTCTCTTCTCCCAGGTGCGGGCTGATGCTGACCATAGCCACCAACCTCCTGCTCTGGCTCTTGGCCGTGACCAACGACACCATTCACATGGAGATCGAGTCTCAGCTGCGTGAGGTGGAGCAGCGATTTGCAGGCAAGGCTCCTTCTCACACCCCTGCTTGTGTCAGGCTGAACCCTAGGGAGGCAAGAGTCTGGTCAGGGACCCAGTTATCACAACCAGCTCCCCCATGTGCCACACGTTTCCTGTTACTGGAGCTTGTCTCAAGGAGATGGGCTGCAAGGGGAGAACCTCTTCACCTGGAGGGAGGGGTTCTGCTATGAAACCCTGGGACTGAGAGCTAGGAAAGGAGAAGCCCAACATATGTTAGTATTTCTGCTCATATTTATCTGTCAACTGCAAGCAAAAGCTTGACAGATTAAATGACATTTGCTAAACCCTGTTGTTCTGAATCCTCACAGCCTGAGGACCGAATGTAATCATTGAACATCCCACTGATCTCTGGTTCTGAGATACATAGAGACAGGTGTTGTGCCTGCACACAAGATAGCCATGAAATGCAGGCCATCTCCATCCTAATTGTCGCCTTCCTCTTCTCATGCTCCAGGCAACGAGACCGTCTCATGCACATGCCCAAACACAACCATCTGCAAAGTCTTCCAGAAGGGCTACATCCTGCTCTACCCCTTCAACACTGAGTTCTGCCTCGTGTGCTGCTCCGTGCTGTACGTCATGTGGAAGAACGTGGGGAGACGCATCAGCCACCACCACGTCCCTCACGTCAAGCACAAGTTCAAGCTGCAGGGGGTGGTCTTTGGACCACTGCTGGGTGCCATTGCTGTGATCATTGGGATCTGTGTCTTCATGATGTACCAGATCCAGGCCACCAGCTCCGTCCCGGACCGCCAGGTCTTTGTGATGTTCTATTCATACTACGTTGTACTCCTGCCCCTGATGAGCGTGGGTGCAGTGGCTGGGACGATCATCCATGCCTTGGAAAAGAAGGAGCTGGACACAGTGAAGAACCCAACTCGCAGCCTGGATGTGATCCTGCTGATGGGGGCAGCCCTTGGGCAGATCGGCATGTCCTACTTCTCCATTGTTGCCCTTGTAGCCACCGACCCCAGGGAGCTGCTGAACAGCCTCATCCTGTCCTATTCCGTCCTCCTCATCCTTCAGACCATCACCCAAAACGTCTTCATCATTGATGGGCTTCACCGGCAGCCCTTGGTGGCAATAACCGAGGCCAGACACACAGGACACGCCAGGCACCATGCAGCAGCTTCAGAGCGACCTGAGGAAGAGGAAAGCACAACAGGCAGCAAACAGGGGCACACACACTCCGGCAAAGAGGAAGACACAAAAGAAGAGCAGATCCATGAAGCCTGTGACCAGAGGCGACTGAGCATGCTGGAGCTGGGACACGAGCTCCGCAGAGCTTCCCTGTCCTATATCCACAGCTACTCTCACCTGAGCTGGAAGAGGAGAGCACTGAGAGAGATCTCATTCTTCTTGGTTTTGTGCAACATCATAGTAAGTACTGCTCTCTGCTCCATCATAGCTTGGCTCAGCCAGCGTGACTTGGGATAAAGATGGGCTCTCCTTGGCTTTCTTTTGGGCTATTCCAGACAGGAAACCTTTGCCCATCATGTTCCAACCCACAGTGAGGCAAGTCAAGGTTGGCTTTGCTGTTAACATCCCCACTCTCATAAGGCCTCTTTTTTACCCAAGTATGGCTGGGTTTCCTGGGTGCAGAAAGCTGATAAATCCTTATGAGCCAAGATTTTAGCCTCTGAAAAGGTTATCTTAATCATTAAGGGTGTTTCATGAGATAGGTGGAGGAAAGTGAGGCACTAGCAGTGAGGCTTTGTGAGTGTCCAGGATTAAAACTCACCCAATTCCGTGCATTGCGCTCTGGGATCTTGAATCAGCATGGATCTTCACTGCAGCCTTAATCCACTGAAAACACACTGGCCAAGGAAACAGTGGAATTCTCTAGAAAGATGAAGCTGGTTGGGGCAGAACGAGCCTATCACTAGGAATTCAATAGGATTTGATTTATAGCAAGGTCTCAGCAGCACAACTGGTGGGGGGGCTCCTTCTCTTCCCTGGCAGGGAGATTCTGATGCTCTTACAACACTCCTACAATGACTTTAGGAGTGCTGAGATGAGAGCGCAGGTAGGAGATGGTTTCTCATCCTCTCACTTTGCTCCTGTTTCCCTCCCACCTCTTTAGCTCTGGGTCATTCCCACATTTGGGGCTCACCCCGTCTTCGAGAACGGCCTGGAAAAGTCCTTTTACGGCTACTCCACCTGGTTTGCCATCGTGAACTTCGGCCTCCCCCTGGGGGTGTTCTACCGAATGCACTCCGTGGGGGGACTCCTGGAGGTCTATGTTACAGCCTGACCCACTCCGACTGCCACCAAGGGGCTGGGGTGAACTGGTGAACAAAGGTGCAGGGAGCAGCGGATGCGCATGTGGATGTTGGGAGGCTTTTTCTCTCCAGCTTCTGCTTTGACTTCTCCTTGCGCAACCCCTCTGAGTTTCAGCAGAAAAGGAGGTTGGTTTTGTTACTGGTTTTATCATAGACTCAAAAGCCCCAAAACAAACTCTCTTGCTGCTCTAAAGAAGCTTGGATGCTGGGACTTGAGTCTGCCAGTGGATGCTGCATGGCAGCAAGTAGGACTTGACCAGCTCCTACTGAACTCTTCCAGAACCCAAGAGCAGCCTTCAACCAAAGCAGCACAGACTGACCCACACTCCATAGAGCTTCAAATACCCACAGTCAAGCCCCACCAGCCCCAGAACTGCTCAGCAACCGCCATCCTGGAGCACAGAGGATGTCACTACCAGCCCCACTAGGAGCAGATGCAGCCACAGCCACTCACAAATGACCCAGACACACTTGTTATGTGTCATATTCAAAAGGCAGCTGGTAGCTGCTTTAATGGTCAGAACAGGGACTGTTTCTGTTTGTTTCTGGTGCAGGCAACCACATCAACTTGTGTGAGTGCTGTAAGATCCAGCCCCACTGAGTGCCAAGCGCCAGTAGCTCTCAGCACTGAAGAGCAGGGCAGGCCTTCAGACCTGCAGTGGTTCAGCACATCTTCTCCCATTATCAAACCCAGAAGCTGTAACTTTACCTTCCCTTAGTGAGAATAAACTCTTTCTCCTTACAGGCACTCAGAGCCTCAAATGAAAAGCCCAAGAGAAGCACTAGATCTGATCACTAGGGCTTGCTGCTGCTCATATGCAGTGTTAGCACCAGTGTGTACCAGCAAAGGTCCCATTCTTGCACATGCAGCTGGTTCAAGAGCCACTGACTGAGCATCCTCAGTGAATCCTTCCCTACCCCAACACTTCAATCCCACTGCTGCTTTGCACATCCATGACCATTTCACAAGGTGCACTGTAAGGGAACACGTGCACAGCTTGATCAAAGACCCATCAGCACTTGTCCTGCAGGAGATGCTTTGAAAGCACATGGAAGAGCCAAGGGCGTTGTGACTGTGAGTCCAAATACAGAGCCTAAGGAATGGAAATAAAGAGATTGAATTTTCATGTGTTATCGTGTGAAATCTCTGGCTCTGCACTCAAAGACCAGACTCAAAGTGACCTGACATTGACTTACACCACTCTTGTGCTCAGAGGTTACAGGAGATTTAAGAGCTGCCCTTATTTTACAATCAATCAAAGCATTTTGATGACTCTCACCCAAGGCCAAAGTAGCATGGTACAAAAGGCATCTATGTTATTGCTTCCGTTCCTCTACAAATCAATCCCACAAGTGCAGCTTTAGGACCAGAGCCTATCCTGGGGTGGGGTTGTGATCCCCTAGAAAAGCAAACTCTCCCATGACAGTAACAGTGATGAGAGCTGGAAACTCCCGAGCACACAGAGCTCCCCATAGGATTCAGCACTGAGGCGGTGATAGCGCCTTGCTGTGAAAACTCAAGTGGGAATGACTGCACGAGCGTGAACTTTGCCCAAGAAATGTTTTTACTCAGGCCTGTGTCAACAGAAACATGTCATGAGAAATAACAACTGGATAAATTAGGCTCCAATAAAGTTAATTATTATTCTCATGTCAGAGTTTATACCAAGGGATCTACAGGAGACACATGCCAAGGGCTGGCCCTTTCAAATGATGAACGTCAACCCAAAACTTCCTAGTTACTGACAGGGAATGATGTACTTCATGGGCAAACCCATGGCCTGCAGACAGAACACTGCTTAAGCCACTGGGCCTACAGGTGACTTTGGAGGTCTCCCACTGAGATACAAACACTAAGTGCCACAGATCCTATGTGCAAGTATGCCCTGAAAGAGAAGTTGACTTGTGATTCATTGCTGGTAAACAGATGGGACACCTGCATACATGGTTAGCATGATAAGGAATGAAGCCCACCAGGGCCAACTCTCACCTACAGCCCCTATAGAGCAGAGAAGTGCTCAGGGCCCTCCAGCCCCAGTTCCAACACTGCAGATGAAGATAAATCCCACAACAAGCAACAGCAGAAGCCCTCTTCTAGGCCAAAATGTAGGGTCTAAGGTTCCAGCCCTTTCACTTAGAGGGCTTCTGTCTCTGGACTGATTTGTGTTTTCCTCCAGGAGGGATAAACCCATGGACACACTGTTTGCATGCAGTTAAAACTGCCCTTGGCTCCCTCACAAGGCTGAGGGCAGAGCAGGGCACAGTAATCAAAGCCTAGTGAGCAGTGAGCTAGCCTTGACTCCCAGGTCCAACACAGCCAGGGCATGCCAGTGACCCACCTGCTCCTTTGTCATCTGCCACCCATGAATGGCCTTCAGAGCTCTCCCAGGGCCAGGGTGCCTGTTTATGGGCCTCAGCTGCTCAAAGGTTTTAGTACAGGCTTCAAAGTTGGGAGACTTGACCCTGTTTGATCTAGTTTCTTTGCTGTGCCCTTTCAGGCAGTTACCTTTGATGATGTCTCATGCCATAAACACAGAAAGGGCCCAAAACCACACGGTTCAGGCTCATTTTCCAGAGGCCAATCTTCACTTCTGATTAAAATAAAGACTCCACACACTGCAGAGGAAGCCAGCACACAGTCTCCTAGAAGCACAAATCACTCCAGCATAAACCAAACAAGATTACAAACCTCTCTCTGGAAATAAACTAAACAACCAAGTGCATGTTTCAGATAATCTTTATCTTTCTCTCTGTAGGTAAGCAAATAGTTTACAGTGCAAGTTGATTTCCACAGAACAAGTGTCAGACTCCAAACACCAAGAAACAAAACAGAAAGGTTTCCAGAGGAACTCACAAAGAAACAAAGCAGAAAAGAGAGGACGGAAGAGATCATGAGAACCAGCAGATCCATGGGAGGGAAGAGGCAAGCACGTGGGACACAGGATGCCCCATTCCAGCTGTGAGGTGCAAGTGCCACACAATCAGAGGCTGGCCCCACCAAATCACATTCTTGTATATGAGAGATTCCAAGTAAAACAGAGACCTCACCCTGTTTGCATCAGAGCAGGGATGAGGTCAGGATGGGAGTAGTGCTAGATGGCAAAGTGGGCTGGAGATGGGAGCTGGGAGGGGGAAATGACCTCTCTCTGTTTCACGTATTTCTTATCCTTCAAGAAAACCATTCAGGTTTTATTTCAGCTTTCTACTTTCTACTCTAGGAGAGGACACTCACGTTGCTATCACCCTTGCTTTAAAACTCAGGCAAGGGTTGCAAGTGTGTGCCATACCTGCCCCCTTTAACGTGTGAGGCCTGTTCCCATGGAGTGATCTCACCTCTGGCTTTACTCTTTGAGCTCGTGGCCAGGGATCCTGTCAAGAACCTGAATAGCAGAGCACCAAGGACTAAGCTTTGGTGGAGAGAGAAAGGTCTCAGTTCATGACAGGACCCCTCACATTTCATGGTCTAAAGACCACGCAGGTCCAACACAACAGCCTCTCCCAGCAGAATACAAAATGCAACTCAAACCCAAGGATGTCTCCACCTATCCCATGCTGCTGAACCAAAGCCAGCAACAATGGGTCTCCCACTAATTCCACTTCTGGCTTCCAAGATTTCACGTGCCTGGGACCCAATACATTCAAGATGTGATAACTTGGTCACTAGCAAAACGCCCTGAAGAACTGAACTTTGCCTCAGCACTCTCCACTCCCTACTGACATGGAGATGCTTTTCCTCCTACAACTTCCAAATTCCTCCTACAACTTCCCTGAGCGTTTCCCTCAAACCCCTGCCTTAAACAGTAGTGTGCAAAAGACCCTTCCACTCCCTGCATTGCATCAGCCTGCCAGGCAAAGATGGAAGGATATGGTTCCCTTCAAAGCCAGGTGGCACTGTCCCTCCAGTCAACAGAAGACTAAAGGAGTTTAACAGTCATGTCTCTTCTTGCTCTCACTGAGCCAGTCCCTTCCTCCCTATGTGCTCACATGGATTAAGCAGAGCTTTCCAAAGTGGCACACACTCCATTGCAGCAGCCCATCACAAAGGACAGGCTGCTGGGCCTGGAAGCCAAGGCAAAACTTCTCCTGCCATCTCAAAGCACCAGCTCCTATGAAATGTCTTAAGCAGCTTTCCAGCAAAGGAGTAGAGAGATTCAGAGCTGAGACACAAAGCTTTCCTTCAGCAACTTCTCCTTTCATTGGGATAGGATAACTTCCCTATCAGTACCCAACTGAGACCAGGGAGACACCTGCAGCCAGAAGGGATGCCCTGGAAACTTTGTGGAGCCACATGAAAGTAACTGCAGTTTCCAAACCCCATCTCCTGCAGGAATAGCAGCTTCTCCCTTGCACCCGATTTACGGCTAGTCTTACTCAATCACATGCTGACTCTGACCAAGGCAAGGACAGAGTCAGACTGGTTTCCAAACCACATCCAGGAGCAAAAGAGTAACAGAAGAGCTAAGTACAACCTGATTTCTAGTGCAAGCACAACAATGCACAACCCCTTAGACATCTTTCACTCAAGGTTCCTGGTGAAGGGTTAGGGAAGAGAAGTGAGCTGGGGGGAGGGATGTCCAAGCAGGTCCCAGTTAAAGCTTTAAATGACAGGGAGGTAAATGAAGTGATTGTCCTTTTGGTCTCTCAGCTGGATGTGAAATGCAGGAATAGCTGTGATGAAGCAGCACACAGCAGTCCTTATATCCAGTGTATTTCTCTTCATAGAGGTAAGTGCTCTCTTAGACCCGTTGAATTTCAAACAGCTTCACATCTGTGTCATACCAGATAGGGGGATCCACATTCCTGAGAGAGAAAGACAAGAGCCACTTCAGTCTCTGTGAGCAGGTACATGGAATGCAAATCTCACAGCTAAAATTACAGGAGCTGCCTACACAGAATGCCTTCTGCTTTGCAAAAGAGGAAATCCCTGGCTGAAAAACAATGCACCTTAGAGGGATGACAGTATCTACAACACCCCACAAAGCCAGAGCTTTGCATTAAATCTCTGCACCATCCCCTCTAGGCAGCTTTTCTGCTCCCTGCTGCTGCCAGTTCCCAAACAAGCAGAGTTCCCAGAACAGCTCCCTTCACTCAAACCAAGTTTTGGAGCAACTAATATTCATCCTGGCCTCTTCCAAGGGACTGACATCTTTCCCTCCTGTAAATACGAGACAATCCAGAGCTGGCCAAGCACATGCAATTCTCTCCACAAGCCTCCCAAAAGTTTGGAAAAGACCAAGTTAGGTTGCACAGAAGTGGGTTTACCTCAAATAAATAACTCCCCACATGTAGGTCCGGAACCACATGGCAGTGCCCGAGTTTGCCTGGTACTTGCGGATGAGGATGGGGTGAGGCACAGGCAGCAGCCCCACCAGTGTGCCATGCTGCAGGAACTTGAGGATCTCTGATTCATCAGTGAGACCCCTGCAAAGAGGCAAATGAGGAACATCCTTAGGCATGCCCCACAGATACCCCAAAACTGCTGCAGCAGGAAGTATCAGGCTAAGCACACACAGACGGCTTATCAGGCTAAGCCACATCAGCAATTATGGCCACCAAGAACACACACTGTCTTTGCTGTAAAAAGGAGTTGAGAAGGGATCAAACAAGAAGCTCGGCAAGCAAAATAACATCTCCTCTGCTGAGACCATGATGCTCTCAATTAGACTTTACAAGGTTTCCCCCAGAGGCACTCCAAACACTGCCAACCTCACATTCCTCAACACACTGCACAGCCCTTGCCCTCCAAAGGTGTACTTACTTGTCAATGCAGATCTTCTCCACCTGAGGAACCAGCACCTGCAGGAGCCGCATGATTGTCTGCAGGGGAAGCTTTGACTTCCAAGACATCACCTGTGAGTAGGAAAGCCCGCAGGGAAATAAGGAATTTATCTATGGTTATCTCCACTATCTCTACAACAAATGAGGTTTTACAAAAAGCACAAAGGTGATGGAGGAACTCAGTGCACAACAGTACTACAACACGAGCCACTCAATGAAACTAACAGGGCATTGGTTTAAATCAGGTGAAGCAAAAGACGGTGATAAACTTCTGGAGCTTGGAACACAAAGTCAAAGACATTCCCCATGGGGAGTGCTCCTGTCTGGAGTCTTTCAGGCAGGAGAAGCTGATGAGGTGTGAGGCCTTTGTGCCCCAGCTCTTTTCCACATTGATGTCCTCTGTCCACATTCCCTTACCCAGTCAGGAGTTGGGGTCCACTGCCCACTGGAGGATGCACTGGAGAGACGCCTTCGATCCCGTCGGGGGTGTGATGCCTCCTGGCAATAAAGAGGATTTTGGAACACACCAACCCAACCAAAAGCAACTCAGTTTAGAGCAAGAAATACACCCGTGTCCTGCTGACTTCCCCCAGCTTTCCCAGAGGAGTTCTGTGAAACACTGCTCAGCCTGCCCATAGAACAGACCAAACCCACCAGACCGTCCATAACCAAACCCATATGCTTTAACCCAGAGAGTGGCAATTTGATGGGGTTAAGCTGTAGGACCCTCTGGCAATGTCACAACTGCTGACACTCTGCTGGAACAATCCACAGTGGGAAATTAAAGCAGGACTGACAAAGCCTGTCCAGGCACAGTGCTTTCTTCTAGCACAGAGACTGAACAGCTTTACAGACCTCTGTCTACTGAGTATCTCTGATGCCCATCCTAGAACATAGTAAAGAGTGTTTTTCCAAGGGTGGGCTTTCAGCAACTCCTGCCTAACATCCCCTGCCTCTTAAGGAATGGTACAAACACGAACACCATCACTAGTCACTTTTTGGAAAGCTCTGGTCAAAAGTCCAAGACACAATTCTCTCTCATTATTCTTCTTTCCATCAATCTGTTTTCATGTCTCTTATACAGCAGACATTAACATGCTGGTTTTCCTTATTTATGGTAGAAGGGAAGGAAAATACCCTTTAAAATCACTATTAATCTTTGCATGATGTAAAAATGGAAAGGCTTTTTCCTTTTGCAACACACCCTGAACCATTCACTACTACCAAGTAACATCATCATTACTAGAGCTGACCTTTCTACAAAACAAATGGGAACAACACTTCCTTCAACTGCCACATGCATGGCTTCATTCACGCATCACCTCTGCAACCAGCCACAGCAGGCCTGGGACAGAGCTGTGCCGCAATGCACTGGAAGCTGACAGTGCTGTACCAGTCCTTTTCCAACTGGGAAACAGCTCAAGCTGGACAGAGAAGTAATGACCTGTGATTGTTTCTTGGGCTAGTGGAGGAAGACAAGCTTTCTTCAAGTTCTCAGCCAAGATCTCACTTAACAACAACGTAATTGTGTGCTTAAGACATCTTGCTGACCACAGGCCTTCACCAGGAAAGGCCAGGAAGCATAAGTAAAACTGGTGCTGGGATATTCAGTAATTCAGTTCATTCCAGTTCATTCACAGCCTAAACAGCAGTATTACTTTGCAGTGTTTGCAGCTACAACCCTTATCATTCAGCCTGTTCACTTTCAGTGCTGAGTCCTCATCAGGCTTCTAAAAATAAATTCATAAAGGCATAAAACCCTCTGATTTCCTGCAGATGACCCCATCTCCTTCCTCTTTCCTCCTCCCTCTCCCACAGCCCTTGCCCCCTCACAGCTGCCATCCAAACACTGGCAGCCAGCTGGCACATTTAGAAGTAAGATGGAATTACATGGGAATATGAAGCTGTTGAACATCTCACAAGACACTTTTGACGTGGTTATGGCTGATAACAGAGAACATTCAAACAGATAAAGGAAGGAAATCAAATCTGTCATAAGCGTGGGTATCCTATAATTTATATAGTATCTTTTATTCATTTATACTAAAGAAGCAGGTTGGTGCACAGAAGGAAGACAATGTTCACCTAGTCTGAAACACCACTACTCTTGGAGACAGATGTGTGCTGCGTAAAGTGCCATTTGATAGCAGTGATGATTCTCCCAATAGCATACCATAGAGTAACAGATTAGTCTGGGTTGGGAAGGACCTTAAGATCATCCAGTTCCAGCCCCCTGCCACGGGCAGCAACACCTTCCACTAGAGCAGCTTGCTCCAAGCCCCTGTGTCCAACCTGGCCTTGAACACTGCCAAGGATGGGGCAGCCACAGCTTCTCTGGGCACCCTGTGCCAGCACCTCAGCACCCTCACAGTAAAGAGGCTGCTCCACTGAAATGGGTGTTTTCTAGCTCTTGATAGGGAAAGCCACCAAATGCCAGAAAGCTGACATCGCCACCAGAGCCAGCACAGCCTTCTTTCACAGACCACAAAGCCTCTGTCTCATCCACACGGCCAAAGAGCCGCCACTCTGAGAGCAGCACCTCAGCCAAGCCCTCATGGGAACATACTGTTCACACCACCAGCCAGCCAGAAGATTCTGGCAGAGCTCTGCATCCCAGAAAGAAGGGAGAGGAGAAAGCAACAGTAGTCAGAACCTGAGCTGAAAGCCTCCAGATCAGGAATACATCCCTTTACAGTTACACACTTGCTGCTCAGGAGCTTTCATTGTCGTGGAAGCTCTCTCTTCTGGTGTCCCAGCTCTTGTGTCACTAGCACAGATTTGAAACACCCACCATAATGCAACATGACTTCTGAACCATGGTGCTTTCCAGCAGAGTGCACATGTGCATATTGCCTCTAATAGGATGCTTTTATTCAATGGGCCAACCAGACTTCTCATTCCCAGGCCCCCATTTAGTCCATGTCACACCCCAGCCCTTCCCTGCACAGCAGATTGTCCGGCCTTACCCCGCTCCAGGGCTCCCCATCACTCACAGCTGAGGATGGGTTACCCTCTGGGGATGACTGCAAAGACTCAGGCTCCAGTGAACGCATGGTCCCATCCTCTGAGACCTGGGACTTCTCTGTCAGCTTGTCAATTCCTGTGTTCAAAAGAGACAAAGCTCAGGAACGCAAGTGAATACACTTAAAAGCAAGGGGTTCTTTTTTGTCCTACCATGCACAGACACCCTATGCATCTGCTGACAACCAAATCCCTCTCCTTTCAACAGGAAAAGCAAGATTTAGCCTGGATTTCACTATCCCAAAGGAGTCCATTTGTCCTAAAAAAATGCTCCTGATTAAAGAGGAGCAGAGGTTTACATGGATAGAGTTAAACTGAGGCAAAAGGTCAAGGTTAGGACAAATGGCCACGTGAACATTAAGTCTGAGAGGAGAGAAGCTCAAGGCAGTTTACTTTAACTTGTTTGTGATCAGCTTGGGCAAACTGATGTGTAACTCAGACGAAAGGCAGTAAGTCAGTCACAGATGTAAACTCTTAATCTCTCCCACACCCAGTGAAAGGGTGAGTCCACACCGTATCTCCCAGAGGAAACAAGCCTCTCTCCTGTTACAAAGGTAAACTAAAGCTGACCTGGCGTAGCCACCAAGCTTGTCTTCAGTGTCCCTGGCTCTGCAGGGGCAGCAGGACGGGAGCCTTCCATGGAGACCCCTTCCTGGGAGTTGGTGCGAGAAATAGGCTCTGGAGTCCTCTTCTTGCGCTGCAGCCCCTTCTGGATGGCCTGTGAGTCCGTGGGCAGGTTGGCCAGCTGGTGGAACACGTTCCGCTTCCGGATAACAGCATAGACCAAATTGGAGTTTCCTGGCAAGCCAAGCAACAAAATGAAGCAGAGAAATAAGACTCAAAGAGCTCTGCCAATGCCATACAGCTCAGCGGGGACATGAAGCATGGTTCTGGAGACCCTGCAAGCTCAGAGAGCCATGCTTCTACCCACAAAGGCAATAGCCCAAGGAAGAAAGCAGGATTCAATATCCTCTTATCCCTTACAAAGTAGTACTGGAAATTCAGTGAAATCCTTCCTAGGCTGGAAGGCTGATGGCTTAGAAACTATCATTCAAACAACTGAGAGGAAAAAGGAGAGTGTAAATCACACATTAGCACCTCTTTTGAAAGAAATGGTTGTGAAACAAGATTCAATATTCCTCCAGCTTCAAAAAGCGCTCACAAAACACATCAGGGGCATTGCATTTGATGAGAAACAGGCTTGAAATATCAAAGCCAAAAGACCAGAATTCTTACTGCCTGCAAGGTGGCAGAGAACAGAATGAAACCATTCCCTAATACAAAATACAAAACAGCCACAAAGGCTGGTTTGGGATCTAGCAACCACCACTTACAAGATTTCCATCAGGGCACCAAAATGGGCACTCTAGAGTTGCAGCTTTAAAGCAAAGCATGACATTTGGAGCAGTTCAAAAGACCTCACTATTATTTTTTTGAGGCAAAAGACTATCACGCGGTTAAGAGGCATTTCCTGCAAAGGTGGCAAGTGCCAGACTTTGTCTGGATGAGGCTGTTTGGTCTTCAGCTCCAGTGACTTGCTAAATCAGAACCAAGAGGCACTTTTAAATGTTTAAGGAGATGGAAGTTGGTTTGCCCCTCATCTACATTGCTGAGCAACACAAGCAGTTTCACAGCAGCATCCAGCCAGTCACACCTTAAGTGTTACACACCCACTTTCCCTTCTTCTTTCTCTCTAACCCAGCTCATCTTCTGGTCTTCAAGAGGTTGAGATTTTGCTGATCATCAACTGCCATCCCATTTTGCTCTAACCTGATCTATTACCTCCTAATTCAACTTCCCAATCCCAGGCATGTCTCCATGTAGCTTCCCTCACCTGTTTGGATTTTCTCGGTCATTCCATCTCACATTCTCTTGGACTAAATTAGTGCAAACCAACTAAACACAGCAGCCAGTCTCTTACCATCAAACTGGTACTGAATGATGTTGTTGAAGACTTCCAGCAAGAAGAAAACAAGGTGGTGGTTCTGGACAGCAGAGAACAGGAACCAGGTGGTGGAAAAAGCCTCCAGGAGATGCAGTAACTTGTTAGCAGCCACCATGGAGAGAGACTTCAGGTATGGAGACACTGTAAAGGCAAACAAATTCAAACTGAAGAACTGAGGTGCATTCATTCACATAAATACACCTCTAAAAACATTGTTTTTACCACCTTCCCTTCTTGCCCTTCTGGGAAAGCCTCATGGAATAGCTGAGCCCAACAGGGTTCCACAGAAATATTTCCAGTTAGAAAAGAAGTCAACATAAAACCTTAGTGAAAGCAAACATTTGTGCTTTTAGAGGCTCTTGGGTAGCTTCACACCAGTAGCATCGATGCTGGCACACCTCCTGAAAAGATCACACAACCAGAGCCACCGGCTAAGCCCCAGGGAAGCCACTGCCACCGTGGGGAGGTGGCACTCCCTGCTGGAAAGGGATGGCACTACCAACAACCCTCACCAGACCTACTGGCAAATGCCCTCCTGCCACCCCCGAGGGGCTCCAGGGATGCTGCTGTCCCCCCCTCTGCCCCATCTGGGCTCAGGTAATGCTCTGCAGACAGGTCTGATCTGCAGCTGGCACCTCCAGCAGCAGTCATTGACACTGGTCAGTGTTAGTGGACACAGGTAGGAGCACAGGAAGAGGGGAGTGAGGGTATGCCCTCTGGAGGCTGTGGTTCCACACTCAAACAGCACTTACCATTCACCACGATGGTGAGTAGGCAATCAAAGAGAGGCTGCAGCCGCTGGTGCCCACTGGTGATGATCTTGTGAAAGACCTATGGCAAGGAAAGAGCTCTTGAGCAAGGTGGCACCTTACTGAAAGCACCCTCTCAACCAAAACCAGTGCCACCCCCACACTAATCGCTTCCTGACACCATTCCTGCCTAGGCAGGGCCCTGCACACGCCACAATTACACAGGTGGGGAACGCTGCTCTCACTGCAGGCTTGCGCTCCAGGAGTACAAGCTTTCATTTACAAGGAATCCTTTGGGGATGTGATTAGGGCTCTCCAACACTGCAAACAGAAACTGACTGTCAGCTATTCCAAAACACACAGGCAGCCCAAGACAGAAATTAACCAGGAAGTAAAGAAACATCATCACCTGGAATGGATTGTGACTCTGAACCCTAACAGTAGCTGCTTGAAATGCCACAGAACAAATCATTTCATATTTGGTTTTAGTGCACACTTCTAACTCAGATATTTGTCCTATTTTTCTTAACTGTAACCTCAGACATGGAAGGTTTGACATTCCCAGTCTTGGCCTTCCCACCTCTAGCTGGCATGCCTGCAGAGAAGGCCTGCAGCAGAACAAAAGATATAGAGATGATAGGAGAGTAATGGAATGGAATGTAATAGCAAAACACATGGCACCAACAGCTCTGGTAGGCACATTTCTCCCAACTCTTTGTAATGGGAATCTCCTTTTGGAGGTTTATCAGAATCTGCTGAGATATTCTTCTCTGGCAAACAAGCACGAACATGACAGCAGGGTACCACCACCTGACGCTGGCACTACAAAACCCAAAGCTGTAGGTTCAGCTTGGTATCACCAAGTTGCTCCCACTCGGACAGATGTGCTCCACACAACTCTGGGACACAGACAGCAATGCAGTCAGATCTCCTGCCTTCCCCACCCATGATAAGTCTGCTAGAGGCCATGCACCCATTCCATTCATTCCACTCCCAGAGTCCTTTAGACATCAGTCCAGTGCTATCCGGGATCCTGTTCTTTGGGATCATCTCATGCAGATGGAATTGTACCCTCCCAGGCACACCACCTCAGGTTAACAATGTGCAAAGATCCCACCAGTGCTTGGATGCATCCCACATGCTTTCTAGCTACTCAGTGGGTTGTGAACCTAGGAAGGACGAGTATATGGGAGGAGAAAAGAGGACACCTATTTGTGGAGGTATGCAACAGGAGTTAGGAAGGACAGAAAAGAACTGCTGGAGCTATACTCACTATGATGAGCAGATCTGCATGTGTCCCTGTGAAGACAGGGATGTCCATAGGCACTCGTACAGAATAGGGCTTGTTCAGTCGAACCCCAAAGTTACGCTCCCCACTGAGAAGCAGGAGGATGAAGACCCCAATGTGCATCAAGCCCACTCGTGCTGCAGGCAAAAACACATCACAGTGAGGCCAGTGGATTCCTGAAGGCAGAAGGCAGTGAGGAGAGGGGAGAAACACTATGGGACTGAAACAGAAACTGCACACATCAGACCGTCTTGACAAGGCACACCCCATACAGAGCTCCCCCTGCTGCCAGTACCAGTGCCCTTCCCAAACACATCTATGGGGCCAATAGAGTGTGTAGGTCTTGGATAAATTATGGTTTTCTTCATTATGTTCTTGATGTAAACCCATCACCATAGTAAGACAGATCCCAAGTCCTTCCACTATGCAGTGATGGAGTTATGCCCGATTTATTCCCAAGGCAAGAGCAGATTCCTCATTTCTCTCTCTCAGAGACACAGTTTTCAACACAAGAACCCAAAATGAGTTAACATGCTAAGGATTTCCCTTCCCTGTGCTGTGGCATAAATCTTGTCCTGCTTCTGGACACTAAAACTCAGCTATCTGAAGCACTCCACCCTTCTAGAAGGCTAGAAACACGCACTTAAGATGCTATTGCATCTAAGTGGTAGGGAGGAAGCATCTTAAAACATTCTAGCTCAACTGTCAAGCACTGATCATCCCAAATACTGAAAATAACCAACTTACACTGGTCTGCTCTGGCATCATTGAGAAAATACAAGATTGGGACAAGGATGTCCAACACATCGCTGCTCTTCAGCACAAAGAAGAGGAATTTCTGGAAGAAAGGGCAGGATTTCAGACCATCATAAGCAGATTTGATTTTCTGCAGCATCTGCAGGCCTCAGGACAGGTAGCCTCAAGCTAACAAATCTCTCAGGACCATTAGAAAGGCTGATGTATGCACCAGCTCTTCAACTCCTGTTATTTGTAGTTATAATAACACCTGCTTCAGCCATTTGCCTCAAGCATTGACCTTCAGGAGCTGCAGTCTCTCTCATAAGCTGTCCCTATACCCAGATCCCTGTTACCCCATGCAGCAGGGAGCAGTGCTGCTGATCAGTCACTGCTCACACTGTCTGCCCACAACCCTTCCCCAGGCTCTGGGCAACAGGCAAGGTGGGGCAAAGCTCAGCAAGAAGCAGATCCACACCTTGTTGAAGTCACAGAGTTTCCAGAAGAGGACGAGGAGTTCCTGATGGAATTGGATCTTCTTGGCAGAGTTTGGCAGGTAGGTCTGGACCAGCGGGTTTGATAACAAGCGGGCCACTCCTTTGAGGATGAACTGGAAATCCTGCCAAGAGACCAAGAAAGAGGCTGTGGTGAGCCCAGGGCTAATGCAATCATCGTGAAAGCAGACAGGAAACAGTTCAGGACAGGAGCATGTTACCTCCTCTCGGTGTATCCTTGAGAGGTAATTCACAAACAGATTGTCTGGTCCAGGAGGCTGCATGCAAAGAAAAGGATTGAAACACTTAATGGCAACAAGGAATACTCAGGAAGGAAAAGTGTAACTGGGGCTAATGCCCCATTTCAGCTTTCCACTCTGAATTATCCCATTTTAAATGCTAAGAGACAGAACGCCTCAGGGAACACTAAAGCCAGGGACTTTTCACTTATATGCTCCTGATGGGGGCCTATAGGGATGCTGGGGATGGACTCCTCATTAGGGACTGTAGTGATAGGACAAGGGGTAATGGGTTAAAACTTGAACAGGGGAAGTTTAGATTGGATGTAAGGAGGAAATTCTTTCCTGTTAGGGTGGTGAGGCACTGGAATGGGTTGCTCAGGGAGCTTGTGAATGCTCCATCCCTGGCAGTGTTCAAGGCTAGGTTGGACGAGGCCTTGGATGATATGGTTTAGAGCGAGGTGTCCCTGCCCATGGCAGGGGTTGGAACTTGATGATCTTAAGGTCCTTTCCAACCCTAACTATTCTATGATTCCAGTTAGTGACCAAAGCCTAATGATGTGGTCATGTACAGCTGCTTAGTGACCTACAGGAAAGAAGCAGAGACAGCAGCCTGCAAGGGGAGGAGTGGCGCAGGGCTCTACAGGTCAACATTCAATACAAGCTGCTGTAAGATCACTACAGGGAGTTCAGGAGAGCAGCAAATAAAGCTCCCAGTCTCACTCACATCCACATCATCCATAGCCGTGCCAGTGGTGGTGCCATCCACAGTGGGACTTGAACTGGTGGAGCTGTCATAGTCCAGAGTGACAATCAGCACCTGGGCTGCCTCCTCCACCAGGGGCTCGCGGTAGTCCGAGAAAAGCAGATGGTTATAGGGAATCCCATATCCCACCGGATCGTAGGCACAGACGACGTTCAGGAGCGAGGTGAAGAGTGGGAGTGCGTGTCTGAGGGGAAGAAAACATTAGGAGAAGGCAGAAGCAGGAAGAAAAAGGAGCTGCCTTGGAGAGGGTCATGATAAAATACAATCATCACACAAACAACACATGTCTGGGGTCATGACAAACACAATCATCTTCTCTAAGCTGTAACAGTGCCTCAGCGACAAGAGCTGACACTCCAGCTCCCTGCTGGTCTCCTGGACTACATCTGAGAGGGAAAGCAGAGGTAAACAAGGCCGAGTGGCTTCCCAGAGGAATCCTGTGTAGTACTGTGTGAAGAGAAAAGGAGCTCAAAGCTCTCCAGGCTCTGGAAAGACAAAATCGTATCTTCAGCCAGGACTGCTCCGAGGGGGGCAACCTGAGGAGCTGAAGTCCCATAGCAGACAATGTCACTAGAGGGCAGCATTCATCCAACCACCAACACCAGGCACTGCCCACAGCAGCGCCACGCCACCATCCCCAGGAAGGAACAAGGGTCTACAGGGAACAGCAGCTCTCATTTCCCACAGGACATGATCAGCCCTGCATCAAACTCCAGTGGGCACCTGCTCAGTCTCCCTTTCTGCTGCTGAGGAGCAATTCCCACTAAGCGGAGATGATAATGGGATGTACATATGATAGGGACAAAGAAAAAGGACAACAGTTCCTCCATGTTGGAGGCAGCAAGTGCTATGGTGCCCCATCACCAACACACTCCATGGAAGAGATTTGAAGGTATTGCTCCCCTGGCACCCAGGCTCCACCTCTTCACCCTCACCTGTTCTCTGTAGAGCAGAAGAACTGCACCCAGGGGTTGGTGTTGCTGCTGTCCGAGGAGGGAGGCAGATACATGGCCTCAGAGAAACAGGTCAGCAGCAGCTTAAGCAGCTCTGTCCTGAAAGAAGGGAAGATGATCTTAAGGTGCTTTCCAATCCTAACTAGTCTATGATTCTATAAGAAGCTGAGGCCTGAAGCCATTCAGGAGCAGGGACTGGGCACAGGAAACACCAACAGCAGAACATAAGGAAAGCTCAGTCCCATCTAGAAAGCTCTCACCACAGGGAGCTAAGCCTATTCCATTTCATAAGCAATATTGTTGTCACTGGTGCAAAGCTCAGCAGAATTGCTGCCTCATGAAAAGGAAATCCAGTACAGAGCTGCTGGGCATTCTCAAAGCAGCAGTGTTCTGCCAGTTTCTGTTGCAGACACCCTGACTCCCATATCATACTACACAAAGCTATTCAAAAGGTCAGCTGTTTTCTATTTCCCCTGTTGCTGGTCCTTTTAGCTCCTTTTAGTGCAAGCATAAAGGCCCTTGGGAATCACGGACACCCAAGGAGACAAGGAGAATCCATTTCCCCACATCCCCCTCTCCTGAACCCAGCCTCTTTTCCCTTCTGCCTTTGCAGCCCTCTTACCTATTCAAGTCATGGATGTAGTTAGGCTGTGGAGAATGAGCAAAGCCCACTCCTGCCTCCCAGATGTACTCACAGCTGTCGATGGAGTGGATATCTTCTGCTGTGTCCTGTGGGAGAAACAAGAGGCTGGACTACAGAAGGCAAGAGCCAGAGCTGACAGCACCAGCGATACCCAAGGCAGTTCTGCCCCTCTATTCAGCAGTACCAAAGAAACCAGAAGGGAAGCATCCAGACACCCACTGTCCATACCAGCACCACCTGGGGAGCACCGCAGAGAAAGGGCCTCATCTTCAACATGCACTGAGCACCATGCAGAATGAGGCCTTTCCTCTAGCATGCTAAGGTGCAGTGCCAGCAACCTCTGCTGGGAAGGATCACCTGATGACAAAGGATCCAAACTATGTTCTGTTCTCCTTAGAGGATGAATCACCATCTCCTCTCCTCCCCATCTCATGAAATACAGACCAAGTGAGGGCTTTTCCTGTGCAGATCAACAGCACCACACAGGGTGCTGCTTGACATCTTAACCCTACCTCAGGGCACATCATGTGGAGTTTACCCACATAATGGTGTCTCGCAGTGGCTGCACCCCTAAGACAGGAGAAGCAGCAAATTAACCCTCATGCATAACAGAAGCAGGTATGGCTGTGATCTGCTTTCAGAGGGGAAAGCAAGAAGGTGACTGCAAATAAGTTATTTCTCCCAGTGAGAACCCTCCCAGTCCCTTGACAGCTGCTGGCATGACTCCCAGACTCTTGCTTTGCAACCTGAGGAGATGAACCACAGCAGTTTGCCCTTCTTTGTCACATTTGAAGCAGCTCTGCTGCCATTGAAAACCACCTGCCAACCCTCAAGGAACCACTAGCAGCAAGGGCACAGATGAGTATGTTTGCATCAAGTGCACTTGGCCCACTTTGGCTGTCTCTTTTCTGAGGTTTAATGAAGCAAATTCTATCTCCTGCCTTTTTTCCTCCCTGCACTTAGGGAAAAGAGATCAGAGGACTGCTTCTAATTGCTCTGGGTTCCCACTGCATCACCTCTCTCCCTTCCACATAGGCAAGACCTTCCTCAAATTCTGAGGGCAACCAAGATGCCGGTGATACCAGCATTATAGCAGATTCCCAGGCCCAACAAAGCAGGTGCTGATGTCTTCAGAGAGCTCAGGCTTTGCAAGTAAATGCTAAAACAGAGAGATGCAGCACTGTGCATGACAGACAGAGCCCCAATTTCCAGCCTTAGTTACAAGGGCTGACTTCAGCAAGAGGACAAACAGCAGAAGGTTGACAGAGCTGGTTCATCCCAGGTCTCCTTTGCCCATTCCCTCCCTAGTTCTTATGCTTCCTGTCAATTCTGCTTTAGCAGCTATCCACCATGAACTGTGTCTCTGGGGCCACAAGTTGTTCTGCCATGAATATGAGGGGGCTGTACCCACCTCTCTGCTCTTAACTTGCAGTCAGACCAGATCCAGGGAGGGAAGAAGCTAGGCAAAGACTACAGAGGCTGCAGGCAGCAGGCAGGCAGCTAACAGCAAGGAACACAAAGCACTCCTGAGTCATTGTCTAGTTCAAGTTGTCCAGAGTCCTGGAACACCAGGCTGGCTGCTGCCAAGGGTGAAACCACACCTGCAGTGGGAACAGGGGGCTCTTCCAGGGAGAATCTGCCCCTTCATCCCTGGATTACAGATTTCAACTCTATTTCTAATACCCAGAAACCTCAAGCAAGGAGTTTAGCACTGAGGTTTTCAGGCGATTTTGCAGCCGTCAAATACATGGTGGTGTAGAATGCTCATTTTTAATGTACTTCATAGCTATATCAAAAAGGAGGGCTGCCCACTTCTCTTTCTAGACTGGGCCTACAATAAACACCACAGAGTCACTGGAAGGCAGGGAAGGAAATGCATCAGAACCTGTCCTTAGCACACCTGGTAAGAGATCCCTGCTTCAGGGAACTCCTCCAAAGACAGTCACCATAGGGGCCACAGCACATTTGCCTTTGCTGCAATGATGCAAAGAGAAAGAGAAGGTGGAAAGGCAACAGAGACAATCTACTCATTCAGATGCCAGCACCTGTGATCAAGCAAACAGCTGCTTCCTGCCCTATCTGGACTAAATTGCCAGTGAAAGGAGCAGTGCTAAAGGTCTCTGGCAACAACAGAAGGGCGGTTGTTTGCCAGCACAAGCACCTTTCCATAGTGTAGGGGTAGGTGCCAGCCACTCCATTTGAGACTCATCCAGCTGCCTCAGAACATCTGTTTTAGAAGGTACAAACCCCACATAATGAACCCAAAATGTTGATCAGTATCAATCACTGTGGGTTCAAATGCAGCAACTCCCTATTTCCCTGCCTGCAGGTTTGCAGGGAGCTGCTGGGATTCTCCAGGGAATCCCCCACCATGCAGCTGATCTACCTCTATAACCTCATCTACCTCTATAACCCTCTATAATCTCAACTTACCACTGTGCTCCTCCGGTGGCTCTGCACAGTGAAGTCAGGGCAGAAGAGCAGGTCTGTGACAGCAAGGAGCAGTGATTCAGCCAGGGGTCGGGCATTTTCATCATCTTCATCTCCCTGCAGGTAGAAACATGGAAGGGTGTTGTCAGCCCAGGTTAGCAAAGAGCACACAGGAACACCAGTGTAACACAGCAAGAGAAGATACACTCCTGAGGAACACACAGGGAGGCAAGAAGTTACAAAGGAACAATAGGGACAAAACCCAGCCTGTACAGGAAAGAAATTCCCCCCTGGAAGGTGATGACTAAACAGGAATAAGCTCTTTAATGACACCAAACTGAGCAGACAGAGATGTTGGGGAAACAGAAGAGTAGCACTAGACCTTGACAAGTGGAGATGCTTGACTTACTGGAGACAAAAGGAAAGGGAACCATTGACAGAGAAGTGGGTTTACAGTCATAAAGGAAGGTGACTAGAATGGTGCACAGACAGCGATAGGAAGAAGCCAGCCAGCAGCAGTAAGGTGTAAAACCCCTTGAAGTCCTACATGGCAGCCCAGAACTGGAGGTGACAGAAGCAGGAGAGGCTGCATGCACCATGCAAGGCGCTGCCTAAACCTGCCATGGCAGAGGAAGCATGGCAGCAAAGAGGATTTTGCCCTCTCCAGCATTCAAAGCAATCACTGGACTCATGCATGGCTACTCCTCTGCAGCCGTTGCCAAGGGAAACCTTTCCAGATCCTGCTTCTCAAAGAGCATCCTGGATGGGAGAACTTCCCCACCACACACTGGTGCTGCCGGGAAAGGCAGGGAGCAGGAATGGCAGGAGCTTATCTATCCGAGCCAGACCTCTGTCAGCCTGCACACAACACACAGCTCTTCAATCACAGCAGGCAGCTAAGGGAGATAACAACCTGTGTGGCTGCCTCAGCAACAGCAGGAAGACTACTGCCAAACAGATCCTGGATGTAAGGAGAAACCCAGACAGCATGGATGGAGCCAGCACAGCAAAGATGCTTTTACTTGGGCTCTCAGTCTAAGATGAAATGATAAGCACTGGAGTCTGAGGGGATTTCTTTTCCAAGAATGACCTTTGCTAAGATCACCTTGGCTGCTGGAAAAGAAGTACCTGCAGGCTCTGGGTACCACCACATCCAAAATGGTGACACACACCAAACCAACAGACCAGTACATAGCACAGACTTCCTCACAAGAGGGAGGCTCCCATGATTCTGGAGCTCTGCCATCCATCACTGCACTATGGAGCACATGAAAGATAATTGCAGAGACATTTACTAATGTAACCATCATCTTCCCCTTTGGTTCCCAAAGAGAAATCAGCCTTTAGACAGCAAAGCTATTGCCTCTAGATTAGATCTAGCCCCAGCTTCCCTTAATGTCTCTGTTATTCATGCCAGGCAGCTGAGCCAGCCTTAGAGCTGCTTCTGCACATGGTTAAAGGACAGAGCACACTGAACCACATCAGCTCCTTGACATCCAGAAGGTACAAACAGCAGGAGGGTTCACACGTGCGCTGGGTTGGATCACTGTAAAGAATGCTCTCTTCTAGGTGCTGAACAAGGTGGAGAACCAGCAGTAACAACAGCCTGGCTGGATCAGAGCTCCAGGCACCCCACGTTCCTTCCCAGAACAAGCTCCTCCATTGTTAAGCCTCTTCAGCACTCCCTGGCCCCTGCAGGGATGAAAGGATGGACAACCACCACCCTCCTGATCACAGATCACACAGCAGAGCAGCAGGGCTAGCAGACTTCCTGTTCCACCACCCAGACCATCGTCCCCTTGAAGTGGCCTCAGGCAAAACAGATTAGAGGTGACAGGCAGAGACAGCTCAAGGTGCAAGCTTTGTCCTGTACCAGCCACTGCCAACCCTTCATATCCATCCCCAAAGACACTGCAGTGCACTGAGCATTCGGGGAAACCACACTCGTCAGTACAGCCATGCTGACCTGCACGTTCAGGAACTCATATGAGAGAGCTCTCTATGCACAGAGAGGCAGCTGCTGAGGGAGCAAGCAGGCACATATGTATTTCTGGCCTAACTCAGCTCTGTTTTCAACACTGCTTCTCCTATTTGCAGATCCTAAAGCGGTTTCATCCCATTCCTCTGAGAGACACAGAAGAGCACCATTGTGCCTGCTCTCCAGACAGAGACGTAGGCAGGTTCAGAGCACCCCCTAAGGTTATACAGTACCTAATTTTTTAATCACTCTTGCTCAGTTATGGGCTTCACCTCTGTGGGTACACTCCCAGTTAAAACTGCATCACTCAGCTCATAACAGAGTATTCAGTAATGATGCTGAGAGCTTCTCTGGCACTGGTTGCTTTAAATGTGGCATTGTAAAGTCAGTGGAAACTACACTCCATTTCAATTTGACATTAACCTTAAATCAAATTTAGTTAATGGAACAAGGTCATTTCAGTTAAAGTCATACAGCATCTAGTACTGCTCTCATGTTCACACTCCAGTTACGCTGGAGAAGCCTTTCCTCACATACCACTGCTCTCCTACAGCTACAACTCACGTGAAATACTCAGATGATGCAGAAACAAAGCAGCTGAGGGTGAGAGGAAGAACAGAAAGAAACAAAGGAAATAAAAGAACTTAGAAGGTGTCACCTGATGTTTGACAGAATAGAAATAACTGGAATAAAGTTGCTCCCAAGTGTGTACATAGGGTCTAAAGAAAGAAGAGTAAGTGCTAAGAGACAGACCCCTCCTCGGCCAGCCCCAGGGACAGTTGACCAGAAGAAACCTCTCCAGTCTGGGTCCTCAAAGATGTAAGGCAGGATGCGGGTGAGGAGCCGGCAGCAGTTCAGGATGATCTGCCTCTCCTTCTCGGTGTGGCAGCCACTCTCTGCTCCCTGCACCAGCTTCTCCACAGCCTGAAGGAAACGAAACCAAGGCAGGTACACAAGTTAGCAAGAGTTGGGCAGGTCTGGCCTGCTGGTGACACCCTGAGAGTTATAAGCAGCTCTTGGAGCCCGTTTTCTCAGGGTTCAATGGTACAGATTCTGCTGCTGTTTGAAACACTGCAGAAATAGGGGTAATATTTAGCCTGGAGAAGAGAAGGCTGCGTGGAGACCTCATAGCAGCCTTCCAGTATCTGAAGGGGGCCTATAGGGATGCTGGGGATGGACTCTTCATTAGGGACTGTAGTGACAGAACAAGGGGTAATGGGTTCAAACTGAAACAGGGGAAGTTTAGATTGGATATAAGGAGGAAATTCTTTCCTGTGAGGGTGGTGAGGCACTGGAATGGGTTGCCCAGGGAGGCTGTGAATGCTCCATCCCTGGCAGCATTCAAGGCCAGGTTGGACAGAGCCTTGGGTAATATGGTTTAGAGCGAGGTGTCCCTGCCCATGGCAGGGGGGTTGGAACTTGATGATCTTAAGGTCCTTTCAAACCCGAACTATTCTATGATTCTATGACGTTAAAGAGACCCTCCTGAATTTCTGCTGTGCCACTCAAAGAGACCTCACACACCAGGGTTAATCCACACAGCACATGTGTCACACCATGTGAGACACAGCCCCAGAAGGCTCCTTCCAGCACTGCTCCATGACACCACACACTGAAAAGAGCAGATCAGATTAATCTCAAGCACACGAGACCCAGGCAGAAGCAAGGCACAGCACTGTGCTGCACGGCGTGAGGTGCTGGCAGGCAGGGGAAGATGGCACAGAAACGGGTCTGACAGCTCTGTATGTGCTGTTGTGATTACAGCAGGAACCTCTCCTCATTCAGGAGGTGGGAGCAAAGCTGCTGCCTGTGACTATTTAGTGTACAGATACAGCCTCCAGCACAGTCTGTCAAGGCCCTGCTGCACACGAGGGTGGCAGCCCAGGTTTCCTGTGAATAGGACTGGTGCTCTGGAAAGAGCTTCTGTGTTGAGTCTCTGCAGCCCACCCAGTCACTGCCGAACCCACCAATGGAGACAGCCACTGGGTCTTCCAGAACAGGCTGTGGGGTCTTTATCAGGCACCAACCACAGTCCCAGGAGGCAGCAGCAAGAGGTTTTACCCACACACAGCAACAGGCAGCTCCTTCCCCCAGCAGCTGCACCCACTCGCTCTTACTCCCTGATCCCAAGGGGAAACAGAGAGGGAATGAAAGCCAAAGCATTTACCAAGGATTCACCTCATTGCTTTTTAATTCATGAGGTCATGTGTTCTGCATGTTTTCCTAGCAGGCTGCTTGGGTCACTGCCTGCCAGCCTGCACCACTGCATTAATGGGTGTTTAAATGCTGTTTGTGGAGCCTCACTTTAGCCATACACTACTCCTTGACTGAGCTTAACTATCCTTTCAGGCCCATTTATGACTCTGGACAGCCTGAGCCTGTAGCTATGACTGCAAATGACATTTCAGCCATGCTCTTGTGCTCTCCATGACCATGCAGCATTGCTAAGTCCAGCGGCACACTGCACGTGGCACAGTGTGGGGAAAGCACTGCAGGAGTCTGCAGGCTCCTCTGACCCTGATATCTGAACATCCAGGCCTCCTGGATAAGCTGCTCTGCAGTCACCAGGTCGCCCAACACATCTGTTTCCAGTAGGGAGGAAAGCCCATATTTTAGTCTTGGTTTGGGGGTATAAAGGACACAGAATCAAAGGGGTTTTGTGGTCAGAAGAGGTCTCCTCAGCCCTTCTCTATTCTCAAGCTGCTGATGCCAGAAGCCAGGAAACAGCACTAGGGAAGAATTATTCCATTTTCCCTCATTTTTGTATTCTTTCTCAAGCATCTACCACAGGCACCTGTGTGAGGCGTGATTTTAGAGCGAGGTGTCCCTGCCCATGGCAGGGGGGTTGGAGCTTGATGATCTCGAGGTCCTTTCCAACTGTAACTATTCTATGATTCTATGATTCCCAATCAGAGGCACCTTCAGTATGATTCAGGGGGTTTTGACCACATTTTGTAGAGCAGAAAAGAAAAACAGTATGGCAACAACCATTTTAAACTGGGAAAATGCCATTCCAAACATTGCCAGTACTACAGATTCGAGGCTACTCTCTGCAGGGCTCAAATCAGACGCATGGTTAACACCTGCACTTTCCCAGGCAGAGGAAGTCTCAGGCTGTTGCTCACCAGCTTGACAATTTGCCAGACCTAGAGGGTAGGAAATGTGAGTCCACGTGCCTTGTGCTCCACACAAGGACAGGGCAACACCAGAAGCAGCATTCAGGGATGCATTCAGGAAAAGAAGTCTTAAGATCTCCCTCAGACTTCATCCACACACCCATACAGTGACAATCTCCACACCCCTCTGTGATCTGCCAGCTTGAAGTAAGGAATAAGGCAGCACTAACCTTACCTTATAACATAAAGTTGCCAAGTTTGAAGGTGATTCTTCTCTCACTGCCCGGATCTCTGCAGCTGGTACAAGGGCAAAGACATCCTGCACTGAAGTAGCTGTGTCTGCCCAGAACTGGTCCCAGAAGGCATCATCTGTTGCCTCCACAGGCTGTGGAGAGACAAACGTGGTTATAGATGCAGAACTACCATTCTATGGAGTCCAAACAGCTAGGTCAGGTATACCAATGCTCTCACAGCTCTACTACCTTCAGAGCAAGCCAAGGATAACCTGAGCATGCACTGGAATTACTTCTGTTGCAACCAAAGTCTTGAGGAAGCAGTCAGAGACATTTCACATGAGGGCACGGACAGAGATCTCACAGAACTGACAGACCCGCCTCGAAGCACTTACAGATACAAGGGAATTGGTCTTTCTGAATCAAATATTTATAAGGAACTGGACTGTGCAGCTGAGTGCTGCCAAGCTTTGTTCTTAAAAAGCACTAAGTGTGCAGTTCGAAGAGAAAGATGGAAGGAGGAGGCTGATACACCAAAAAAAGCAACCCATTTCAGACCTGTGGTCTGAGAAGCTCACCCCGCTCTCCATGTCTGGGAACACATCTCTTCCCACTACCTCTTCTGGCTCTGCAGGTGCAGACAACCTTCTCTTTCATCAGCACTGCAGTCCCCTTTCCACAGTGGGAGGATGAGTATTCTCCTCAAGCCCACCCTGAGACCCCACTACAAGGGATGCTGGCTGTAAGGCTGGTCTGTTTGCAAAGCCACAGCTGGAAAGTCAGCTCAGCACATCCGGCTGCAGAGCCTCCATGTGATTTCTTCCTCCAGCTTCTTCCTCACTGTGTGGCATCTACTCAGAAAGCAAAACACTGCCAGTGACAACTGGGGGTCAGGTTATATGTGGCTGAACGAAGAGGACTGGATCTTACTTTGCCCTTTATGGTTTTGTAGAGCCAGAAAGCATTCCAAGGTGTTCAAACACAGGGCCAGCTGTGCCTCCAACCCTGCGGAAGCACACTGATGACCAGCACTCCTCAAAAGGTGAAAGCACCAGCACTGTTTGCTGAACAAGGAGGCATTTCCATTACACAACATCTCAGGCATCCAAAGCTCTGAATAATCAGGAAAGACTTAACTTTTCAGCCAGTTTAAAACAGAGCACAGCTCTCCCCATCTAAATGCTAATACTTGCCAAGAGATAGGCATCACTCAAACAAGCATGGGAGCACTCATCCAGCCAAAGGGCGGGATAAATACCTATTTATGCCAAGCAGCAGGAAGGAGATGAATCTACAATAGAAGAGGAAAACTGAAGCTTTTCCAGTGTTTCCCCAGCCATGCTGAGGCACAGTGGTAGATCAGAAGAGCCATTCCCTTGGCTGGAGATGAGGGGCAGCGTCCTCCCTGCAAGTGCACCAGCTCCAAAGCAAAGAGCAGCTCTCTCCCAGCTGCAGTAACCAGCACTGTGGATGGATCTATCGTGTCAGATGGGAAAGGGGCAAGAAAATGAACATGTGTTTAACTGAAACAATGCCTGCTCACTCCCAGCCCTGCTGCAGCAGGCACAAAATGTGCCCAGCTCTCTGCTGTTTAAATGCAGCTAAGACACAAGTCCAGGGAGAACATCACAGCCCTGGCACTGAGAAGTGCCCTAGCTCCCTCTTTGCTATCACCTCCTGAGTTAACAGCCTTTGAGCACGTGTCACTATCACTCAAAGGCCAAAACGTGAGATGGGCAGGTAGCTGCCCCCAAACTGGTATAGCAGGTTACAGCCCGGCAGCTCCCTGCCTTAACGCTCCACCGCTGCCGAGGCTGCTTGTCTCCTGTCCTGGTCCTTCCAGCCACGCAGCAAATCCACCCAAGAGACTCTCCAGTCTTTAAAACCTGAAAAAAGCCACACACGCGTTTAGACATCAGGCAGGAGCTCTTCCCTGTGAGGGTGCTGAGGCGCTGGCACAGGGTGCCCAGAGAAGCTGTGGCTGCCCCATCCCTGGCAGTGCTCAAGGCCAGGTTGGACACAGGGGCTTGGAGCAACCTGCTCTAGTGGAAGATGTCCTTGCCCATGGCAGGGGTTGGAACTGGATGAGCTTTAAGGTCCCTTCAACACAATCCATTCTATGATCTTTTTAAACTGCTCTAGTGCTGAAACCCTTTTCATTTCATCACCTGTCACCAAAGCAAGTTCCCACTAAGCCTTCCCAAGGGAAAAGCAACTTTTTCCAAATGGTTCAAGATCACAGCTCCTAAGAGGGGATCTAGAGGAAACACCAAGTGTTCACAGCCTGACTTCCAGCTTCCTGAGTGCATGAATCATAGAATCATAGAATAGTTAGGGTTGGAAAGGACCTTAAGATCATCAAGTTCCAACCCCTGCCATGGGCAGGGACACCTCACTCTAAACCATATTACCCAAGGCCTCATCCAATCTAGCCTTGAACACTGCCAGGGATGGAGCATTCACAACCTCCCTGGGCAACCCATTCCAGTGCCTCAGCACCCTCACAGGAAAGAATTTCTTCCTTATATCCAGTCTAAACTTCCCCTGTTTCAGTTTTAACCCATTACCCCTTGTCCTGTCACTACAGTCCCTAATGAAGAGTCCCTCCCCAGCATCCCTATAGGCCCCCTTCAGATACTGGAAGCTGCTATGAGGTCTCCACGCAGCTTCTCTTCTCCAAGCTGAACAGCCCCAACTTTCTCAGCCGATCTTCATACAAGAGGTGCTCCAGCCCCTGATCATCCTCGTGGCCTCCTCTGGACTTGTTCCAACAGTTCCATGTCCTTTTTATGTTGAGGACACCAGAACTGTACACAATACTCCAAGTGAGGTCTCACGAGAGCAGAATAAAGGGGCAGGATGAAGGAGCCGCACTCTTCCTAACCTGGGCATGAAATGCTTAAGTGGAAGCAAAGCTACTTTGCAAACCTCACCTCTAATCGGACTCCTCAAAAAGAACCAAGTATTTGGAAATCCAATCTCTGCAACGCACAAAACATCCTAGACTTCCTACATCTCCTTCCAAACCTGGTACCACAACCCTGTGTACAATCCCCACATGTACCCACTGGCTGCCTGCCACAGCCACTCCCACTGACAACAGGGAGCAGCAATTGCTGCTAATTGGAGCTCATGCATAACTAATGGTTCCCTCTCATCTAGAGGGGAAGCAGAAACCATTTCCCACCAGTAGACACAGATCCTTTACCTCCTGCTTGCCTCAGGCCTGCTCTGAGGTTGAACACAGCCCTTGTTTTACACATGGTAACACAAGAGCTAAAGCAGATTGAAGGACATGGTCTGACTAAAAGGACACAGCAGTAGAGAAGCATAGCTGCAACACTGGGTGCTGCAGCCACATTAATGTCATGTCTGCCATCTTGGCAAGCAGATGATGCTAAAACACTGTTTCTTTCAGCTTTAATAGCTGCAGCAGTCAGCTCCTCACCAACAGATGGTATCCCCTGTACAATGCTGGGCCACGGATTCAGTACTGAGTCACTCACATCCCCACAGCCCCCCTGGTTTAATTAACAGTCTGGCATCACAAAGCTACTCCCATCCACATAATATTCATCTCCTTGATAGAACATTAACGGATGTTTCTAAGCTGCTTGTGTTCTGCACACGGCATCTCTGGGGATCTAAATATCCATTTCCTCATGCTGAGCTCACACAACTGCCCGTATGTAGCTCACAGGAAGGGAAATACAGAGACCTAGAACAGCCTCGTTCACCAGCTATGGATATCTTCATTTGGAAATGTCAGGATTTAGTTACAAGCAGCACACGCTGCAGTCACAAATCCCACAGCTACCCTTGACAGTGCTTTAACCAGAAGAGCTCACGAGGAGCTGAATCCTCACCAGCAATGGTGTGAGCTGGGGTCGCTGCATCCTCCAGATCAAGGCAAGAAGGAGACTTGCCTTCAGTTCACCAGGACAATGTGTAAAGACCTCCCACCTGCACGCTGGCCACACAGAGGTGGAACAGGTCCTACTGGACACCTCCAGTCTTTGTTTCCCAATAGTTATAAATGTTGGGTTTCAGGTTCTTTAAAGCACACCACACATGCTGTAGGAGCCAGAAAACAGTTTGCAAGCACCTTGCCAGTTACTGAACAGAGAATCACAGCCCCAACAGGCAATCCCCAGGCATCCAGCAGGATACCTCACAGGAAACAGGAACACAGAGTGGAGCTGACCATGTCCTATAAACAGGAAAAGGTCCTGAGGCACAGCCTCCCCCATTCATTACTGTGCTCAGCCTGACACTAGCACCGCCTTCGCTTTCCCTTTCAGACACAACCACGCACAAACTCCAGCAGGGTGAGTGTTTGCACTCTCCTCCCACCCAAGAGATTCCTGCATCTCCACCTTTACACCAAATCCCCATTCCCAAGAATTCCTCCAGCAGGTCCTTAACAGAGCACTCTCCTTAAACCAATCCTGACCTTGCTGCAGACATCAGCAGAGAACCAAGGGGAGAAGCAGCCATTAGTCTTGTTCACTGTATTCTCTTCTTTCTTGTCTACACGTCAGCTGAGCATCCCACCAACCGAGCCAATGTAACAAAATGTGCAGGGCAGGGACTTTCCTTCTTCCACAGCCCAACATCAGAGCAGATCCCTCATCCCTTACCGGGGTTTCTAGCCAGTACTACCCAAGGTCAGATATGTAACAGCAGCAGGCTCCTTTCCACGCCAAATGAGGCAGAACTGTGCGGTGTAATACTGACCAGAGAGTCACTCCTGCAGCACTTGGTAGAGCTCTAGCAGATGAGGCAACCCTGCAGGGCCAATGGATTAGTTTGAGGCCATTCACACCTTTGTACCACCTGCTTGTGGTACTGTGCAAAAGGAAAGGCTGAGGACAGATTTACTCATAACATTAATACCCAGCAGGATTTCCCCCCTGCTGTCAACGACAGCAGCCCCACACAGACCAACAGTAAGCTTTGCTGCAGGATCTTTGCAGCCAGCAGTGCAGAATCAAGGACAGACCCCACTCGAGTGTGATGCCAGTTCTCTGCCCCCACAGCAGACAGTGTGGCAAAGGGAACCGGAAAACAGGATTAGTGCAAGTCTGGCAGTGAAAGCCCAGGATGAGTGTCAGCTGTGTGCAGTGTTAGTTACAACACTGCTTTTAAACCAACAACTTTGCTTCTGATCAACCTGAGACAAGCCTGAATATTATTGGCAATAGGCTGCCAGAAGCCTCCAAGCACAAGATGTACTTTTATCAGGCCCAAATTAACAGCCTTTCCACATCAGAGAGGGAGAAAGGACTGGAGTTTGTCCCTCATGGCTGATCCTTCCTGTCTCTTTAAAAGCAGAGGCATAGCTAGCACTAAATTCAACCAAGCTGCTTCACAAGATCACAATTTCTTATCTTCCAGTCGGTTGCTTGCAGAAACCATTTAATCACCAACTGGCAAGGAGAGAAAACGTGCTTCCCAGCAGGCTCCCAGCTTCAGTTCCCTGCTCCACCACTGACTGGTTGTCATACTCACATTCTATGCTCCCCTTCGCCTCTTAAGGAGACAGCATTTTCATGGGCAGTTTGGGAGGGCTCACACTTTCTCTGCGATAAAGCACACCTGGTTTGTTATTAAAAGGATGGCCCCATCAATTTAAAGGTGTGCAGTTTAAGGCAATATACAATATATAAAAATCCTAAAGCCCATTCCTCCATGTATCATTATAAATATGCGCGAGTAGCATAAGCCAATTCCTTCCTCCTGGTACTACTGAACTACTGCCATTTTCTAATCAATGAAACCATTCTGAACTTCACATCAGTGGCAACAGAACCTTCTCCAGTGAGTGAACGGTGCTTTCTGCTCAGCTTCCTCCCATCACAGCCTTAGGAAACACCACACAGCCTATTACTAAGCTCAGGGTTTCATGTTACTGATGATGTGACACAAACCTATTTGTCCAGCTCCCCAACGTCAGAGGAGAAGGCTGCAGCAAAGCAGATGCGGTGCTGAAGAAGCAAGGTGTATCCTGAGCCAACAGCTTTGAAGCACTTGACACTACCCACTGCTGCACCTGGGTTTGAACCCAGGGCTCAGCAGGAGGAGGTTGCTGCTGGTAGGAGCTCCAAAGGCTCCAGCAGAGCCCAGGCACACATCCTGCACAAGCAAACACCGGTGCCTTTCTACACTATGCAAATATGGGAGCGCCACCACCCCACCCTTGCTCCACATGGCAGCTCAGGCTCACCTCCACCTGAAACTAATCCAGCCAAGAATGAAGCTTTTTCCTCCTTCCTTTACTTGGGGCCCCAGGGAAACTTCTTTCATTACACACGGTCGATAAAGCAGGGGAGGGGACCACTCTCTTCTTGGCTGGCAATAGGAAGGATTGCCTCATACAGGATTCTCTTTGTGAACAGCAGGCTGAGAAGGTCCCTATAGGCTTGATTTCCCCTTTAATTTCACCTTACACACTTATTTCCCAGTGGAGGAAGGATGGTCCAAAGCTGAGGGCACTCTGAATTATTTGGCATCCTATGGAAGAATCCCTTAAAACATTTATTCACTCACTTCTCTTTTTGCCTAGGGATGTTGTAGAACATCTGCAGCTGAAGGCTGTGATGAAGATGTTCACAAAAGCCCCTCCTGAGTGATGCAGACAGCGGTGATACTGCTTTAGAAAGTACAAACACAGCTTCCCAACGGCTCTTCCAGCCTTAATATCCATGGTTCATTCCAATTCTACCCTTGAGTTTTCACAGGTTTTCTCCTGTTATCCCTTTGCACCCATCCCTTTTCTTCTGAATTAAGGTTTCATTATGGCAGGGGGGGTTGGAACTTGATGATCTTAAGGTCCTTTCCAACCCTAACTATTCTATGAAGTACCTTTTTGCCATCGTCCCCAGGTTTTCCCAGCAGCTGTTACTCCCTCCCTGCCTAAGGTGGATCAGAACAGCAGCTCTCAACTTTAGCTCATAAGAATCTGAGACATAATATCTCAATAGAGCAAAATCCCTCTGCTCCTTAGACAGAAGGACACTACTCATTGACTACCCACATGCTGCCATCACTGACTCCCAACTTACACATGAACTAGTTCCGAGGACATGGCAGCATCTGTTAGAGTGCTGGGCAGCCACCTTCCTTATGCATATAACACATACAGACAGCCCTGACTGCCATTCACTCAATTCCTCTCCTCTACAGCAATAAAGCATCAGTTCACAGATGGAAGCTGCTTCTGCTGCAAAAAGCTCTCCCATGGATGGCCAGCAGCCCTTTGAAGAGGCTATTACCCAAAAACAAGGCTCACCACCAATTATTCACTGGGAAAACAGCAAATACATAAAGGGAAGCGCCGGCAAAGCGGTGATGTAAACCTGCAGCTGAATACATTAAGGAGCCGTGGACACCTCTTCCGACAGCAGCATCTCAGCCTGCTGCCACCACAGCACGGGCTGTCACAGCGCCGCGACACAGGCACGGCCCTGCCGGACCCCATGGCTGCCCCCAGGGGAGCCCGGCCCCATGGCGGTACTCGTGTCCCTGATGGGGCCAGCCTGCCCAGAGCCCCCAGCCGTACAGCAAGGCCTCACCGGGAGATGGACCAGAGCCAGCCATGGCTGAAGGCCCCCTCCCTGTTGTCACCCCCAACCCGCACAAGGAGCTCACACCGGGCCCTTCCCTCAGCACCGGGCCCTTCCAGCCGCCTCGCAGCCGGGGGAGGCCGCGCCGCAGGGCGGGCGGCTCCCGACATGGCGGTGTCCGTCCCCCCCCCACAACCCCTCACCTCACCTCACCCACCGCCCGACATGGCGGCCTCACCTGGGTCTTGGTGGTGAGCTGGATCACCGCCTTCCTGAAGTTGAGCTTGGAGTCGGCGCTGCCCATGGTGGGCCCGGCTCGGCGGGCAGGGCAGGGCTGTCCCCTCACGCCGCCGATGCCGCCGCTCCTCCTCGGGCGGCCGCTGCCGCCATCCCCCGTGCCCTCACCGGCCGCCCTCCCCGCCTGCCTCCCTGCTGTCAAAGCCGGCCTCGCAGCTCCGGGCCCTCCCTCCCCTCCGCCCGCATCCCTTCACTCCTCCCTCGGCCGCGGCTCCACCTCCTCCAGGCCTCCCTCCCGCCCCGCGGGCTCCCTTCTCCTCCTCCCTCCCCATCGCCGCCTGCAGCCTCTTCCCTACCTCCATCCCCATGGCCCTGCTCCCCCTACACCCTCCCTCACCGTCACTCCATGAGGCCCCAAGGCAGAGCACGGCATTCCTCACTTTCCCCCCCTCTTCCAGCCCTTCCTCACTCTCCCCTCTGGCTTAAGCTCCCTCTATGTCCTCCCCTTCCTGATGTTCCCCTTCCCTTCTTCCCCACCTTTTGCTTTCTCTCCCCCTTAAGCCCCATCTTGCCCCTTCTCCCGGCATCCTTTGTCCCCTGCATCCCCTTTGCTTGGCTGCGCTCAGGGCCAGACCCTGTAACAGCTCCAGAGATCCTGGTCCCAAGCATGGATGGTCTGGAAGAGCAGCAGGATGCTGGGGAATGGCCGGCTCCAGCAACCCTAGTGCTGGGTTGAAACAGGCCAGGAACAGGCAGGATTGTAACAAGTGCCCTGTGCAAGCACTTTGTAACCAGCTCATTGCACATAGCACTCATTAACCCTAATGGAATTCTACCCACCTGCAAGGAGAGGTGGGTTTATAACCCTGGGGACGGGGGATTCAGGATTTGGCCCTCACTGTCCACTTTAAAGCAGCTCTTCGAGGCGATTCAGTGTTTGCTTTGAAGCTATCCCCACTGCTTTCTGCACTGAATGGCAAGCAGGGCTTCTGGGTGTCGCTACGTTGCATTTCCCATGCTCAGCCCTGCAAACCTCCCTTCTTCAGAGGGAATGAGGTAATTCCAATGGGTTTGGCAAAAGAAAGCAATCTGCTCACTCCCCAGCTGGGGCAGACTCTGGGAATGCTCATTTGCTGGCATATAACCTGGGTGGGAATCACCAGTGTTTGACTGTACTGAGTGACGGGTCAGATCTGAGACCTCCATGTGAGATCTACAGGAAAATGCTTCCCCAATATCGTGTTGCCTGGCTTTTGCTGCCAAAGAGCCAAGGGATCTGCATCCAAGCACTCACCCATATGCCAACACTACACAGATAAATGCAAATGATTTCTAGTTAGGAGCAGAACCCTTCTCCCAGGCAATTCTTTTGCACATTTAATAGAATAGCTTGGTTGGAAGAGACCTGCAAGAACCACCATCGAGTCCAACAGCTTCAGAGCTGACCCAATGCATGCTATTAAGGGCATTGTCCAAATGCCTCCTCAACACTGACACAGGCAGGAGAAAATGAAGGGTTTCTCATTTCTGTATTCAAATTGCTTAGAAAAAGCTCAAGGAGCCAGTCAGAGGTGGCTTTCACACACACCCCCCAAGAGTGCTTGATTACCTGTGCTGAGTTATAAATGCCAGGTTAAAGGAAACTCCTCAATCCTGGTCTGCAACCGCATTAAAGCAAAAGACTTCTCTAAATTTGGGAATATACTGATGTGTATTGATGTGATTCTGGGATGTATTGATATTAATGTATAGAGAGGTCTATGAGAGGGAAAGGGAGTGGAGTAATCTACTACTTCTCTTTCATTCCCTGCTTCATCTCCCTCCTCTGCTGCTGTACCCATGAGCTCAGTACCAGCCACTGCTTTAATCACCCAGGGGCTCCCAGCTGCCTGTCACTGCTGCACTGGATGGAGTTTTCAGACATAGATCCCATCTTTTCTGGATGCACAGTCTGCTGCTCTTGTGTGAACATCTTCTATTGCCTTTCCTGTTGGCAGCGCTGCAAGGTAACACCATCCAGTAAAAACCCAGGGGTTCCATCACACCAAAGGCAAATAAACACTAAAAGATCATCTAAACCCACTGACACGCGAGCTCATTTGGACCTTGGAGTCTCTGATGGATGCCAGGGGTGACAAGGACAAATAAACCCCCTTGCACCAAACCCCACAGTAGCAAGGAGGAGAAAGGCCACCTTCTCTAATGTTCATTGCCCTAAGCTGAAAAGCAAGTACCAAAATCCCAAGTCTTTCTGAACTAGTATATAACAGACATGTATCCTCCTCAGACCTCTGCAAATCCTCATTTCCCTCAATTTTAAGCTCCTTTCACCATTTGGAAAGACACAAGAGCTTGTCCTTGATCAAAAGAAGAGAGAAACCCACATCCAAAGCACTTGTTTCTTATCAGGGTGCAAACCAGGATGAAGGGCTAGGGATGGCACAACGTTAAGGTGATGCTACGGAACTGTTGGTATGGAAGTTCCCCTCTCACAGCCCCAGCCAGGAAGCTTAGAAACACCCCCCTCCTTGAAAAGCAACCCACCCAAGCCCACCAAGGCAGAGAAGGCACCAACATCCTGGTCCTGAGACTTGCCCAAAGTCACAGAGGAGCCCGTGGCAAGGCCAGGACACCCTCCACATCCCAGCCAGCGCTGGAGCAAACCCTGCTCCCGGCTGCCCTGCCCGGGAAGCAGGGACCCAGCCGGAGGCATCATCGCAGGGGTAAACTGCAGGGCAGCTCCCTCCTCCGCACCCTGCCAGCCCCAAACCCAGCTCCCTACAGCCCCAGGCAGGGCTGGGCAGAGAGGAGGAGGAGAAGGAGGCGGAGGAGAAGGAGGCCGGTCCCTGCTCGCCTCCCCCTTCCCTGTCGCCGGGTTTCCTTGCAGCATTTCCATGCTAGAGGTCTCCACCGAGCTGCGGAGAGAGGATCTGCCTGGCTGCGCCGGGCCCTCTTCCTTCCTTTGTGCATCCCCCAGCCCCGGGCAAGCCGTGTCCCCCGCCCCGGCCGCCACGTCCCCGCTTCATCCCCTCCGGAGCCTCCCCCGGCCCTGGAGGCAGGAGGAAGCCGCCTCCCCGGGCAAGCAGAGCCGGGGAAGCGGCAAGGCACCGGCTGCCACGTCGTGCCACCCTCTTCCCGGCGCGGGCACCGAGGCCGCATCCCCGCCCGCATCCCTGCATCCCTCCCCGCTCCGCTCCGCGGCGGCGGGGTCCCCGTTAGCGGATGCTGCGCGCCTCCCCGGGCCGTTGGTGCTAAATGCTGAGCGCCGACAGGATGGAGGAGTTTCAGAGCGAGGAAGAGGAGCCCTGGTACGACCAGCAGGACCTGGAGCAGGGTAAGGATGGGGACACCCCGCAAGCTGCCAGGGATGGCGGGTTAGGGGGATGCGGAGGCAGAAAAGGGGGCAAATCCCGGGTTCGGGAGGGTGGGATACCTTCTGTCAAGCATCGTATTTGCTTGGCAAAGCCAGCGCCTCATCCTGCAGCGGCACCTCTATGGAAATCTCATCTCTGCTGCTCCAAATCACTGTCCTGGCCGTGGAAAGTTTAAATCCGATGGAGAGAGGCAGGGAGCCCAGAGCTGTCGTGAGCAGCAGGGTGGTAAAATCCTGGTGTGTTACATCCACAGGGAAGCTGGTTCCCCAGAAAACTTGCTGCAGGCAGAACCAAAGATGGGCAGTTAGGACACTGCTTTCATCTCACAGCAGTTGCAGGTAGGGTTAGCACACACACTAGTTAGGAATGAACACATCAAAAATAATGTGTTGCTATGCTGAAGGTGCTGAAAGTGTCTCTCAAAAGCTTTTGCTGGCCAAGCCCAAATCCAAAGGGATCTTCAGCTTTTAAGTCACCTCATTACTTCTAGAGGTTTTTCCAACCAGCCAAAAAGCAGGAGAAATTGGGAAGGAAGAAAAGACAAGATCAAGGCCAAGTTTCAAACAGCAAAAATAGCTTTGCAAGAAGATAACATTCACTCACAGTTTGTTTTGAAGCAGCTGTACCTACGTTTGCACTGCTTCTGTGTAACGCTTATCCTGAGGGTGGACAGTCAGTGGCTGTGGGAATTTGGGGCATCTATTCCTTATCTTAATGTTTCAAGTCAACACACAGTAAGTAAATAACTGGAAGAAGTCCTGCTTAATGGCAGTTGGCCCAGGAATGAACCAAACTGCTCAGTCAATCCACAGGGGAAGATTCCTCCCTGAATCCAGTACCTCTCCGCCGCACTCTAGGTGCAGTTATAGATGGGCTTTGGGTTGCGGTCCAGCTGCAGTGCCTCTGCCCCCCATCGCTCCAGGACATTATGTCATGATTGAAAGTTTACACAACTTCAGCTGCAGGGCAGAGGCCCAGCAAGGAATGAATCCAGCTCCCCAGGGATGGCTGCGGCTGGTTTTCAACCCCAGTTTATTAGCAAACAGGAAGTATCCATAGCGGGATGCTGGGTCCTGGGCTATGGAACACAGATGAAGCCAGGGCAGAGCATGGAGATGGAGCTATCACTGAATAAACAGTGCAGCCTTTGAGTGCTCAGAAATGCACATTGCTGGGTGACGTCTTCCCATGGCTCACAAGGGGTCTGGGCACTGCTCCAGGGGCGGGATGCAGGCTGAGGAACAGCAGAATCATGGATGAATATAGGGATTGTTGGACAACGCGGGACAGATTGATTTTGAACGTAACACCGTCCCTAGTGTCAGGTTCATGAGTCAGCACTGGCACCTTACAACTGGCTCACAACAATAAAACCACCTTCCCACTGTAGGCCAGGTTCCTCACTCTGTCCCAGCAGTGTAATGCAGAATAACTGCCTCCGGATGATGGATTGATGCTGGGACAGCCTCCACCTTTGAGCACATCCAGGTCTGGAAGAAAACACACACTCAAAGCCCAGCGGTGGGATTTGCAGCCTCCTGTATGGAGAGGGGCTGCACAGGCTTGCACAAACACAGGAGGAGGGATGAGGAAGCCTTTAACTAAAGCCAGCCAACTGGAAAGGTCCTATGGGGTAATTACAACCGTAATTAATTTGCATGATGCACAAAGCATCAAGAAGGACAGTGCCAGACTTTGTCCACACACTCTGTGCCTTTGCATTATAGCCATAGCAGGATCCAGAGGTCTCTGGTGACAGCACAGCTGTGGAGCTGTTGGTTTGGAAATGGGGGGTGAAAATAGAGTGTAAGACATCCCATGCAGCATGGGCATGGACCAGCATTAGTAAGAGGATAGGAA